AGTCAACTCACAAAGGGGATATTAGGGTCCTTGAAACAAAATTCGCCAGAAGGAAAGTTTGAGTCTGCAGTGAAGACCTTGGAATCTGCAACTGTCCCTTAGAAACATTACTTTACATGGCAAACGCTTTGCGGGTGTGATTACGGTTAGGATCTTGAGATAAGGAGGTTATCAAGGATTATTCAAGTGGGCCCCAAATTCAATCATAAGTGTTCTTATAAGAAGAAGAGAGAGAGAGAAACAGAAGAGAAGGCAAAGTGACCAGAGAGGCAGAGATTGGAGTGATGCAGCCACAAGCCAAAGAATAGCAGCTGCCGTCAGAAGCTACAAGAAGCAAGGAATAAATTCTACCCTGGAGACTATAGAAGGAGCATGGCGCTGCAGACACCTTGATTTTAGCCTAGCGATACTGATTTCAGATCTCTGACCTCCAGAACTGTGAGAGTATGAGTTTCTATTGTTTTAAGCCACTAAGTTAGTGGTCATTTGTTACAGCATTCATAGGTAACTAACACTCTAGTAATTTTCTGGGAGATTTTTATATCTATCTTCAGAGGGCATATTGGTCTGCAGTTTTCTTGAAAATATCTTTGCCTGGTTTTGCTAACCAGGGTAATACTGGCCACATCAACTCACATACCTGAACATGTGCCATCAAATCTATGTTCCCGTTCCATTTCTAGCCAAAGTCAATCCTTCCACCTAAAATGAGATCACCTTCCCTCTGGCCTACTCAAGGCAATTGCTTCAGCAATTCTTCCCTCTTCCCTCTGCATCATTAATGGTTCCTTATTTCCCCTTATCATCACACAAAGATGCTATTGTTTCCCACCTCTTAATTAAAAAAAATTTAAAACCTCTTTTGACCCCACTTAACTCCTCAACTACTGTCTCTTTCCTCTTTTTTCTTTACCCAAAAACTCTTTGGTTGCTTAAACTCACAGTCTCCACATTCCCTCCTCCCATTCCTTCCTTAATCCATTCCATTTCAGGCTTTTGCCACCACCAAACCTGTGGACCTGCTTTGCTTAAGATCACTAATGACTCTACATTGTGAAATACAACAATTTCTTCTCATATGAACATCATGGCATTTGATATCATTCATCACTGTTTCTTCTTTCCAACACTTTTATTCATTTAGAGTTCAGGCTACCACACTGGTTTCCTTTCTGTTGGGGCCGTTCTATCTCAGTTTCTTTTGCTGTGTCTGTTTCATTTCCTTAACTTCTACATGGTAGAGGGACCCAGGAGTCAGACTTTGGACTTTTCTATCAACTGTTTCATTATAGCTGATAATCTAGTTTCTTCTCTTTTCTATCTACTGTTACTGACTACATCTCACCTAGCATTATGACTTTGACACCTAGCATTATGACTTTGACACCTAGCATTATGACTTTGAATACTATCTATATGCTGATGACTCCAAGGTTACATTTGTATCCTAGACCCTGTAGTGAACTCCAGGCCAATGTATTTAATAGCCCACTCATATCTCTTTGGATGTCTAACAGGTGTCTCAGACATGACATGTATAAGACTGAATTCCTAATTCTGCCCCCCAAATCTGCCCTTTTATACTCTTTTATACTCCCTCCTACTAATGGTCAGGCAAACGATCTAGCTGTCACCCTTGTCCCCCTCTTTTTTTCACACCCCTCATCTGGTCTGTCAGCAAATCATATTAGCTATACTTTTCAGATACTTCCAGAATTTGAGCACTTTTCGTTACCTTCAATGTGTTTCCAGCCTGACACACAGTGGGCATGCAATAACAATTGAGAGAATGAATGAAGTGAATTCTGTCATATCCCTGCTTGCTATACCTTACTGGACAAAGCTTGGTCCCTAACACCTTTACGTGCTGTCATCTGGCCCATCTGTTCCTCTCTATTCTCATCTTTTGCTGCTAACCAACAAGGATCATATGCTCCAAATACAGTGACCTACTTCAAGTTTCCCAATTTATCGTGCTGTTTCATTCCTTTATGCCTTCCACAAGGCTGTTTCCTCAGCCTAGAACATTCTTACACTTGAACAGTATTTCGAGAGTCATCTGCGTCAACAGAAATCTCATTCTAGCCTAAATACCTCTCCCCTATGCTTGCCTATCTCAGCACACATGCTTCTATACAGCACAAACCACCCGCTACTGAGGTTTGCCTGTCTCCTCATCAGAACTCGGAGCTGCATGTCTTGTTTACCTTGCTTTGGTATTCCTAACATGTAGCGCAGGGCCTGCCTTGTGGAATGCAATAAGTGTATACAAATGAATGAATGAAAGGATTTCTTTGTGTATTGTGCTTCTTCATATATGGGATCAGAAAACAAGAGTTAATATAAAGATATACGTTTTTCACTATAAATAGGAATGAATAATTCTTTGGTAGCAACACTTCACACTCATTTTTAAAAGAAGAATGAGCTAACTATTTGCTTTGAGGGTGGTTTATTTGTATTCCTCCAAGATAATCCGAAGACAAGGACATATTTCCTCTTCCTGGTATAGTCATTCTCTCTCGCTCTCTCTTTTTAAATCATATTTTATATTGAAAAAAACGCTTAACGTAAGAGCTACTGTCTTCACAAATTTTTACGTGCACATTATTGTTAACTGTAGGTAAATGTTGTACAGCAGAACTCTAGGGTTTATTCATCTCGCTTAATTAAAACTTTATGACCATTGATGAGAAAGAAGAAAATCATATTAAATGACTATATTCTAATTTCATTAAAATATTTATCAAACTTTCATGTGCCATATATTGAACTACATGAATCATCTTCCACTTTTACTACCATTCTCTC